ACCACTCAGTTAAGTGACAAGTTTCTCCACATTAATTCCATTTTCTTATATATTCATAAATACATATAATCCTATATTATCTTACTCGATTAATTTCTAACGTGTGTATATATAATTTCACCTTTGTAAGTATAAGGTTTAGTTCCAAACACCTTAGATATATATTCCCAACATGTTATTATAGAGAGAGTTATCCCCCTTGATACCTAACTTGTTTACTTATGTTCAAATTTAAATATATTTTTCTTAATTATTCGTCTTTCGAACTTAGGAATTTTCTGATTGACATAAATTATAAATAATTAATTATAATATTTTATATAACAATAATTAAATAAGCAAGTCTTAACACACAATTTGAAATCATCACCATAAGAACGCGGACTTAATAACGGTCAGAATAAACTCATCACCTGAAGGTTGTGCTATCGACTTTGGATATATATATATATATATATATATATATAGCGGACTGCCATACTACAAGTCATACTACCCGCACATATTATAGTGGTGAAGACTTGTGCAAAACCAACCACACTTTTTGGAAGAGCCGAATACACAGAACTGGTGTGCAGTATGCCACGAGGTTCCCAAAGGACCCTCCGCTGGTTTTGAATTTGAGTTGCTATTCTCCTAGGCCGTTCACCACCCAATGCTAGAGAACCCAGTCAGCTATTTTACCTAAGTCGTTTGCTAGAGAACCCAGTCTTACCCGCTATTTTACCTATAGATGGGGGAGAAGTGGTGGATTTATAGAAGAGATTGGTTCATAGATTTCCCAAGAGTATTTGCACGTAAGTGAATGTAATGAACTCGACTGGAATTCGAACTCGGCTCTCTGATTCCTCAATTCGAGACGCTATCCCCTTATTCCATTGTGCCTTCACACCTATTCAATACAGGTAATATATATTCAGAAAAGCTGAGAAATATATTAGCAAGAACTCCTTTCCTTCTCGATCGGGAAAAAAATAAAATAGCTGTAACTCATGATTAAAAAAAAATGGTGAATTGTGGATATCACATCTTAATTAGGCACAAGGCCTAAAGTCGATGGATGCAGATCTTACACAAGTTTTCCAAACGCGTATGGCTTATCTACTCGGAAAATCAGTACTGGAACAATGTCCCCGGCATTATACAAATATTTATAAAATTTAGCATCAATTTAAGATACAGGGTAACTAACTTACTGAAATAGTAACATACTAAAGAACTAAGGTCAACAATTATTACCTGGCAACACCGTATTTATGCATTTGAACAAAATGTAGATATGGTTTGACAAGACTAGAATATTTGAGAGATCTGATAGCACATATATTAATAATATATTAATATATATACTTATATTGAAAGCCAACAACAATTCTTTTTGTTTACATAAATGGGGTTTGATAAGAATTATCAAGCACATTAGGTGAACACCAAAATTCGATCAGCTCAACACACACAATTATATCGGAAGGGCGAAGGGCATTGCTGATTATTAAGGTTAGAGATTACAGACGCTAGTGTACTTTTTTTAATAATTTCGCCCCATGCAAGGCAGTAAAGCAACTAGAGCACAAGGGTTTCTTACTCTTCTTTATACCTATATATATATATATATATATATATATATATATATATATATATATATATATATATAAAGAAATATAGTCTTAAGATGTGCTATATTTATGGGATAAAGTGCTCAATATCAGAGATAGAGCGTGTGTAAATATAAAAGGGAACATAGGAGTCAACACTTAGAGGCGACAGTCTGTTTCATGCTAGATGCAATGGTCAGGCCACCGATTGCCTGACGATTGCATTTACACTACGGGTTCTTCAGCCTGTTCAGACAAATAAAAGAACCCTTTCAAAACTATATATATATATATATATATATATATATATATATATATATATATCACTAACAATCTTTGAGTAACGAAAGTCCAATCAGATCGTCACACTTTGGAGTATAGATACATTTCCCTTGTGAAGGATAGTAGATCATCAACATCGCAGTTTTCGAATAGCTTCTTCATGCGGATTACACTATAAAATCCCTGTCCCGTGAGAACGAGTTCGGTACACACGATCAGGAATATATAGTACCTAAGAAGTTACGCATTCCAGCCTCTCTTGTATAGAATTCGCTGATATTTTCATTTCTTCCCTACTCCTTGTTTCCATTTTCCTAATATGGACTACATTTCATAGAACTTGTTATGTAGGTCGAAACATAATCGTATTTTAAGTGTCCTTTCTTTCTATTCTTGTCTTTATATTTCGCTAATCCGTTACTAAGGTAATTACTTAAACCCTCATTTCGTAACTGGCGATAATTAAGGAGGATTAAACCAATGTTTCCAATATAGTTTAATTTTAAGAAAATAATTGTAACTCATCAATGCTCATTATTATTTCTTACAGGAAATAAAAGAATACAAGGCGATGTTGTCGAAGGAAGATGAGACAGGAATTAACGTCCGTTATACATGGAATGACGAATTCAGTAAATGCATGAAGGAACTGAGAGAGGAATATGAACAAAGACTGGACGATATTTCCCAAGAAATGTCAAGTCGTTACGAATGTCAGGTTAGTTTTTTAGCAAATACTTGCACCTTCCGATTTTTATATTGTTTTAAGTCATTCGATAATGCTAGAAATGAAATAGAAAAATTAAATACAAAAACAGCACTGCCCTCTCTAAATATTTCTGGCAATGGAAGAATAATGGTAATAAAAATTTATCTCCTGAGATATTATATCCAAATCTTATAACGGAAAAGGAAATTGTTGTAACTTATGTCTTGTTGAAAAATTTCTTATCTTAAAACACTTAAATAATCCTAGCTTATTAAAGAAAAGAAATAAATTGATGGTTACATGTAGGCATAAAAATAAATATTTTCTTAAATACGTTGATCCAGATTAATTTTTAATGTAAATTATGGTTGTTTTTTTTAAAAGAACAAGTAATTTCCCTTCACGTTTAAAAATTAAAATTCACAACTTTAATTTTTTTCTTTTTTATATATGCAAATCCAGTTTATTTTAAATGCCAAATATAATTTTTTAGATTAATAAACTGTAATTCTATTATAATACCTAACTACGCCAACATTCCAATTTGTCATAATATATATATATATATATATATATATATATATATATATATATATATATATATATCGTGGACTCTCCTGTCGTTGATCGACGCGTGCTGTTGATCCACGCCTACCGGGGAGATTTCCACAACATTTGAGGGCCAGGAACCTCCGTTCCAAGGAACCGAGAGCCAGACAAACTGCACATATGATTTGATTATAGTGCAGAACGAACCACACTTTTTGAAGAGACGAATACAAACGACCCTCCACAAGTTTTGAACTCAGTTGTTGTTCTCCTAGACCAGTTGCCACTCATGGCTGTAGATTCCAATCTGTCTTGCTATTTACCCATAACTGGGGGAGAAAAAGAGGATTCATACCTATTAGCATGTAAGTAAATGTTACGGATTTGACTCTTTCCGATTCTTCAATCCGAGTCTCTATCTATTACTCCATCATCCGTATATATACATATATATATATATATATATATATATATATATATATATATATATATATATATATATATATATATTTTGTTTGTGTGTGTGTGTGTGATAAAATTCAGATATAAATAAAATATATCTGTAAAAATAAAAGTATGAATAAAGACAGAAGGAAAACTTTTCTTTTTACCAACGCGTTTCGTCCTCTGAGGTACTTTACAAGGATACATTTACCTTGATAAAGTTTCTATTTACACAAGAAATTCAAGATGATTAAAGACAAAAGGAAAACTTATCTTCGCTGTATAATATATATATATATATATATATATAGTATATGGCCGTTGAGTTCGAGAGCAAAGGTTGAAGCGAAGAGTTCCGCTTTATTTGACAAGGATGAGATGATCTTGGATCCATTTATAATAGTGGGCAAAGATGCTTTGCCGCTATTCTGAATTTGCTTGGAGATCTTCCAAAAATTCCCAAATCCAATTTCTTTGTTTTCAACCTTGGCCTGAACCGCTTGTGCATAACTACACTTTGCACTTTCTAGAACTTGTCCTCAAAACGACTGCCCCTGGGGTTCTCCTTCAGCTTGAGAAACAATGAAAATCTTGGCGAACAAGGTCTTGACTGTTGGGAAGATGTCAACACAAAACTTTATTGCATAACGAGCTTACAAATTGTCTTCACGCCACGGCTGCATTCTACAAACTAGTTAACTGTAACAAGCAGTGTTTAATAGGGTGTGTCCAAAGTGCCAATACAGCCTTCAAAGTGAAACAAAAGTTAGCAGGTTAGCTTATTAGATGGATAGGAATGATATACTAAAATTAAAATAATCTAGAAGAGTGATAAATGCCTCTTTAAAAAAAAAAAAAACTTATCCAAACTTTCGAAAAGCATATATATATATATATATATATATACAGAAATTCGGTAAGAATTCTGTGTCGACAGAGTTAGAGTTTGTTTTCTTTTCATGTTTAATTCTAAACAATGTTTAATTTCCTTCTTTAATTGTCTTCTTATTTCCGTCTGTTCAGTTAAACTGATATTTTCTATTATTTTACAAGAATTGAATTTGTTTGAATTAATCTTGTCTTTTGAAGAAGAAAGTATATAATTCTTCCAATATTTATAAAGACAACGTCACGCTGCAATTTAATTTATGTCTTGTATTTCTTTATTTCTTCTGTGTTTTTAACCCATCCAGTTGCAACAAATCAGTCAAAGTATTGTCAAAATCGAATCACCTAGCGTTATGCATTCAAAAGAAGAAATCAGGAAATGCCAAACAGAATTGTCTCAGAAGGACATGAGAATTAAAGAACTCGAGGATCTGGTAAGACAATTTTATATTTTACTTATTCAAAACGATTCTCTTAACTGTTGTTTCAAGTTCTAAAACTATACTCTTCGTGACATCAAAGATTTTCATTCAATGTTTTTTATCTCTTTTCTTCCGCCATTTTATTTTTCTATTTTTGTTCTTCGTCGCTCTTTCTCCGTTGCTTCTTTTGTTTCTTTTTCTACCATTTTGTTTGCTTTTTTTCCCCGCTTCTTTGTTCCACTTTTCCCTCTTTTCTTTCTTCTTCCGCCATTTTCTTCCTCTTCCCTTTATTTTTCTCTACTTCTGCCTTTCTATCTGTCAATATTCCTAAAATGAGGTATTGTAATTATTCATATTATTTACATTGTTCGGGCAGGTGTCCTCATCTTTATTACCATATTCACGACGTTTCGGTCATTGTACCCTCTGGCCATCTTCAGGTAATTGGAATTTCGAACTGAACCCTTTATTTCGTTCACCGGGAGATAAATGAGACATAGCGAAGAGTCATGGCATGTAGAACAAGAACAATCTACTTCGGTGGACGGAATCAAGGGTTCAGTTGGGAATTCCAATTATCTGAAAAAGACCGGTGCGTGCAACGGCCGAAACGACGTGAATATGGCAATAAAGATGAGGACAAAAGTCCGAACAATGTAAATAATGTAAATTCTTACTTTGTTCTTATTACTCTTCCTCGGCCATATTTCGCTTTTTTCTTTTCTTCTACGTCTTTCTCTTTCTTTTTTTTTTTCCATTTCTCCTTTCTTTCTCTTCATTTTTTCTTCTTCGTTTTCTTCTCTTTACTTTTTATTTCTGCTTTTTTGTATCTACTTATTTTTTTCTTCTTTTTTATTTTTCTTTCTCTATTTAATTTCTTCTCCTATTTCTTCTTCTTCTTCTCTTCCTCTTCCTCCCCTTTCTTCTTCTTCTTCTTCTTCTTTTTTCTTTTTCCTTTCGCTTCCTTGTCGCTTTTTGTTTTCATTTCTGCTCAGCTCACGTTACTTTCTTCAATCTTTATTTTCTGTAATTCATTTATTCTTTCACTTCTTCACTTTTTCTTTCTTTCTTTCTCCCCTTTTCATCTTTTTCTTCTTCACATTTCTTTTTTTCTTTCTTTCTTTTTCTTCTTTCATTCTTTCAATTCTTCTTCACTCTTTCTTTCTATTTTTCTTTCGTTCTTTCTTTCTCCACTTTTCTTTGTCTTATACACACTTTTTTCTTCCTTTCTTTCCTCTGGTCAGCCTACTTTTTTTCTTTCTTTCTTTCTTTCTTTCTTTCTTTCTTTCTCGGTTTTTCTTTCTTTTTACGCTTTCACTCTTTTTTACTTTCTTTCTTTGTTCTTCTTTCTTTATTTCCTTCGCTGGACAGCCTACTTTCTATTTTGTTATTGTTTTTTCTATCTATCTATCTATCTATCTATCTGTTCAGGTTGAGAGAATGAAACTGGAATTAAAAAGTTTAGACGATCAACTGAACATAGAAACTGAAGAACTGAGGATCGAGAAAGAGAGGAGATCAAGTGATTCGACGAAATTACAACAGAAAATAAATAAAATGATTAGCGATTTCTCGGACGCCAAACTGTCACTCGAGTTGGAAATTATTGCTTATAAAAAACTCCTGGAAAGTGAAGAGAACAGGTAAGCTTTCTATTTCATAGTAAAGAAAAAACGAACCTGTAAAGATACTCTAAATAAATATTCTTAAAGACTCCACTTACATTTTCAACTATCTTCTTATATATATATATATATATATATATATATATATATATATATATTATCTTTTAAAACAATATGAATCCTTCGTTTCATAAGAGTTCTCATGTTTCAAAAACGAGAGCCGAAAACCTCAATATAATTATAAAAACAAAATGCTAAAGAACTCCGGATTATTTACCTAACATGTTCTTTCCTATATTTCTACACACACACACACACACACACACACACACACACACACACACACACACACACACACACACACATATATATATATATATATATATATATATATATATATTCAGGTAGCATATATTCATTCAAGCATGTTGAATCAGACCAGGAAACAGAAGTATTAAAGTGATCAATACACGCTTGAAAAACATAAAAGTAAAAATAACATGTAAAACATTTAACTTTCAAAATCAGGAGGTCAATTGAATCTACTACCCTGGTTTCAGCCTTACGGTCCCCTCAGGCGATTTTTATCAAATGACCTCTTAACGCTTTATTTTTTTTTTTAAATAACTAATGGACGCTATATTATTGTTTTCAAAAATCTTCCAACTCCCTTTCTATTATCACCAACGTTGTGCGTTTGTTTATTTATTTTTTAAATGCACATGCATATATATATATATATATATATATATATATATATATATATATATATATAAATAGAGAGAGAGAGAGAGAGAAAGAGACGTCTCCCTGTGTATTTAAATGAAACCTATTGGTCCTCTGTAATTTGGATTTTGCAGGTGAGTTATTGGTTTTGACGGTGAGGTTTGCAGTCTTAATTGTTTTATTGTAGATAATTTAATTTTCTTATTTTTGTCGACTCTTGTATATTTCTTTATAATCTTTCTAAGTGATGATTCATTTTGCAAGATCCAAATTGCAGAGAAGCAATATTATTTACAAATTCATATGTCCCTTAAGGTATTGTGTTCTTGACCAATCCAAATTCGTAAATAATTATATTGCATATACTACAAAATGTTTAACAAGAAACACACGTTACATCTCTCCGACCTTAGCTCAATTAGGTCTCATTTAAATACACCTACCAAACTCTATCCGCAACATACTCGTTAATATATATATATATATATATATATATATATATATATATATATATAATAATAATTAATAATTATAATAATAATAAAAATAATCATAATATATATATATATATATATATATATATATAAAGAGAGGAGTTGGGAGATTTATAAAGCTTAATTGCTTAGTTGTGTCTGGAACAGGGAGGCACGGTGGAGTAATTGAGGAATCGGAGAGCCGAGTTCGAAATCCAGTCGAATCCATTACATTCACTTACGTGCTAATACCCTTGGGAAAGGTCTGAATCTTCTTTGACCGCCCCACCCAACCAGCTACGAATAAATAGTAAGACTGAACGGGTTCTATGGTCTTGGATGGTAACTGGTCTACCGCAGAAAGAGATGGCAACCTACTGCGGGAAAAAAATTCTGTCTCGTCAAGATCGAGAAAGATACATGATTGCCTAATTGTGTATGACGCATGGCACATAACTAACTGTGTCTGGCTCAAGACTAAACGAAAGTAAATGAGTAAATGATGATTGTGATGACATTTTCATGATAAGGAAACCCTACCGCTTTTTAAAATCACCATTCGCAAATATGTCTTTTATCTCGACTCGAACTGTGTCTTTTTTAGCAATCTTTGCTTATTTTTGTATAGATTCAAAATCTTGACGAATCTTAGCAATGTGAGTCAGGCATCATTCAATCTGGCATCAGGCTATACTATATACAGTACGGCTCGCCCTCACTAGCAACGCTCTCAAAGGCTTTTTTATAACACTATACAAATGCAAATGCCTAAGAGTTCATTCAAATTCGTTTTCCAGAGAGAGAGAGAGAAAGAGAGATTTGAATGATATTTTTTGTTTCTCCTCCGTAGATTCGCGAAAGTATCTCAGGCCAAAGAAGAAGAGAGCAATTCTAGCTCAAGAGTTGAATCATCCCAAGTTACTGAGTCTGGTAAGTGACACGCCACTCGATAAGATGCTTGATTCCGTTTGTAGTTGCATAATTAAAAGAAAAAAATTGTAGTTCCAACGAATGATTTATTTTATGGAAATCTTTCGACAACCAGATGCCAGTCTTGGTTACTCCTTAATTTGAGTAAAAACAGTGCAAAGTTTTACAGTTTTACTCAAATTAAGGAGTGATCAAGACTGGCAACTGCTAGTCGAAATATTTCCATAAAAATAAATCATTCGTTGGGACTATAAGTTTTTTTTTTCTTTTAATTATACACGCCAATGGGTTTGGGATTTTCCGTCAAACTGACCAATTCTCTGCAGAATTGTTGACTTAAACTGAATCACACCAAAAGCCACAAAAGTAAATGCAACTTTTATCCGCTTAATGTCCCAAGATGTTTCTCTTTCTGTTTTGATTCGTCTGATTTTAGGCTCAACAGTTTTATATTTTTTAAAAGAAACTTATTCAAATAAATAAGAATATACAAAGGCTATTATATTACTTCTCATCAAAAAATGCCTTTAATTATGTTTTCATAATCATATGCATTTTACCTTACGTATATCACCTTAAATATATTTGTGCTAGCTAATAAACACGTTTGATGTCCGTAAATGGCGAATTTGACACCAGAAGCAGTGGTCGATCGCTATTCAAGTTCAAACAGAGAACTAGAACTCAAATGCTGATTTTTAAAGGATGGACGCCGTACTTATTTGAATTGTTATCTCAACAAAATCTTCCCAGTTACTTAATTGACTTTTTTTATATAATCCGTTTCGTTTGTTCATTTTCAATTTCATCTTTACAGAACAACTGCGTGGTAAAACATATTGTTTTATTTGCTAACTTTATTACACTAACCCAGTCAATTTTCTAATTACACGTGGAAAATACTTGAGATTAAGAAATGGAAATCTTATTGCATTATTGAATTCTAAGTAACACTACGTCTTTTAGCACTGTAGTCGTATTTCATGTCATGTTCCCAATTATCACATGTTAGTTAATTAACGTTTTCCTCCTAGAAGCAGGGGACATTTTTATCTCCTTAAATATTAAGAAAAGTAAGAATATTATTGTTGTTCCAACGAGAGTAAAATGGATATTTTAAATAGAGAAAAAGCCGCAAACGTTTGTTTATTATAATGTGTTTTTTTATATATATACTTTATTATGTATATTTCGCTACGCGAGTTTTGGGTCTTGTAACCTTCATCAGGCGAAGAATGGTTAGTTCAATTTATTATTTAAAGGAATTCATTTTCTTCCTATGTTAAACATTCATCCATTATCTTTTGTGTGTAGTTGTAGTCCTATGAATCCATCTTGGACTGGCCGAAAAATTTTCTTCTGATTGTGGGGATTTTTTTTAACTAGTGTCTTTGTTTTTGCCACTATATGTATATGGTGTGTGTGTTTATGTGTGTGATGTGTTATGATTTGTTTAGTGCTGGTTTAAATTTGTCTATGATGTTTTTTTCTTGTATTTAAATGTAAGAGTAATCGTCTGTTTGCCATAATTTTAAAGTTATACTTGTTGCATTTGTGAATGTGTTGTGGCACAATGAGTTTTCTGTTTTCTAGTAATTTGCTTTTGTGTAAGGTGACTCTACTGTTTAGTGGTTGATTGATACCTATATAAGATTTGTTGCATTTTATGCATCTGAGTGCATAAATTACATATTTTGAGTTACATTTTATGTTGTTTTTTTTTTTTTATTGTGAATCTTTTTGTGGAGTATAGGAGTTCAGCTCTATAATTATATCAACAAACCCTAGATCTTTTCTTGTTGCATTTTTTAACCCTTTGTATTGTGTGTTGACTAAATTTGGAAGAGGTTAATATGTGTTTTAGGATTTTTTATTGGCGTTTGCGTTTAATTATATTGATGGGTTTTAGTATATCTTTCATTTTATCATTCTTCTTAAGTAGGTCTAAATTTCTTGTAATTTCTGTAAATATTTCTGGATCGTTCATATTGTCTGTCGAGACGTATGCTAGAATTTGTTCGTTATTGCGTTTCTTTGGGTTTTGTAGTTGGTCTAAAGGTATTTTTTGCTAGTTCAAAACCTTTGTTTATTAGTGGCGTGGGGATCCTCGTTTTTTTGTGAGTCTTACGTAATTCTTCCAGGCTTATTTTTCGGGGGTGTTTGTCGGCCACTATATTTCAAATCGTACGTGCTAAGGAATAGGGATGGCTTTTTGACAGCCTTTTGGGTGATGGCTCTTAAAATGAAGATATTATTGGGTGTCTGTAGGTTTATGGTAGATATCTGTGATAATATGGTTATTTCTATTTTTGGTGAGTATATATAAGAATGGCAGTTCGTTAAAATTATGTTCTTGGGTGAATCCGATCTTCGGGGGTAAGTTTTAGAGTAATTTGTCAATATTGCCCCATGAGGGTTTCCAGAAGATGAAGAAATCATCTAAGTATCTTCATCTTCTGGAAATTCTCAAAGTTAGTATGAGGCACATTGGCTTCTGAGAGGTTATTCTTTAGCTTGCCTTTACACCTGAGACACGGCCATCTAATAGTCCTTTGTCCACTGTGAAGCTGGCTATACATGAGGACCTTAGGTATTCTGTAGTTACTCGTACTTGCAACATGACCAGTCCAGCGAAGTTCTGACTGCACCAGGAAAGTTTCAACTCCACCAATGTTGCATTTTGCGAGAACATTAGCATTAGACACTGTTATGGTAATCTACCCACGCACGCATGGATTCCCCCAGCTATAAATAAGAGCAGGTCCTGCCTTTTGGGAAGTGCAGTGTCCAGCAGTCAGCTCTGATAGTCGGACCGAATATTCTTGCTGTAACACTCTCGTTTGTATATGTTTGTATTACCGTTTTCTGTTAATATATTTGTTTAACTCAATTCCTCTCTTGTGCTTTTATTTCTGGCCCCAACAAGGCCACAACAGACACCCTGTCGTCAAAAGTATAGCCACAGATTGAGCGGAGACAACTTTTGTGGAAGACATCCATCTGATTGAAATGGGATTTATATGGGGTCCACTATTCTGAGTCGTACCATGTCACCAACATTAAATTTTTTAACCCTGTGAACTCGACCAGCATCGAATCAATGCTCATTATGTCAGAAGTCGAATGGACTGGCTATGGAGCAATACCACAATCCCAGAGGACTGTAATACGGAATGATGCTATGTGGCAAAGAAACAATGCAAATAGCCAATCAAGTTTAAACTTCCATTGTGCAAGAACAGACGAAAGAACCGATCGCATTGGTGTGATATTATCCACCAATTATATGCAAAAAAAGACTGGCATCGAAAACTTGCTACTCAAAGAGAACAGCATCACCGTGCAACTTAGGAATTGATCCCATCTGCCTACTCCCAGTGTCCCAAACTCTCTCAGCTCTACGCATCCATATTTGGGTGTGGAACCACCCACGGATCCATTGATGATTTACAAAAAAAAAAGCCGTCTTCGGACCTGAAAGACAAACAGGAAAATTATATATTTATGTACTATAAATTGAGATTTGGAAAATACGTCTAAGAAATTTGCGTAAATGTGCGTAAAAATAAATCCTTTAAGTTTGATTCCCTAAATTATTTCGGACTCTGCATGCCATTAACCCTTTTTGGTTGCGGGTGCTTCTTTTTGGTGATGGGTCCCAACCTGTACAATTGTTCATTGTACTACCTGCTACTATTTGTATACCACAGGGGATTTGTCCGCCGCGCAATAAAAAACGGGACTAAAAATGGCCAATTGTGCGCCAAGAAGAAGATAAACATCATCAGTAAGGACTTTAAGTGCGCGGCGGGACGCTATGGCAGCGAAAGTTTATTAGCACATTCTTTTAGAGAAAATGGAAACAAAAAGGAAAATTATACTTGACATCAGGAAAAGACATAATGAGGAAAGAGGGCTTGGAAAATCTGATACGCACAAAGATTGATGGCAAGAGAAACAGAGAAAAACAAAGCAGAATATACTTAGTGAGCTTGACTAAATGGATGGTGGAACAAGCAAAAGACAAAATTTATTAAGAGGTACAAAAGACAGGAAATTGTGGAGAGCTATGATCGCCTACACCTGAAGGCACATGACACAAGGAAGAGATCAAAGAAATTTATATGGTGCTTAATGAAAGAAAAGGGCTTGGAAAATCTGATATTCACAGGACAGATTGAAGGCAAGAGGTCCAGAGGAAAATGTGGATTCCGGGTTGAAATCCGGTATCAATAAATAACAAACGCCAAGAATGAATATAGGAAAATAATGTATTAACATAATAATACAAACTGGTAAAGCAGGTTAGTAGTTCCAGGAATACGGGTTAGTAGCAAAATATCTATACAGTCTTTTGTATTGAAGTATCGCTGTATGACTTCTTACTGAGTCTAAGTGCTCCTACAACGTTGTTACCTCACCCTCACACTTCCGGTTACCTACAACCTTTTACTCTGTCACTCTGGACTCGACTCGACTCAACTCGACTCCTGCTCTCCTTTCCTCTCGTCTCGCTCTTGCAGTAGTATATGTATATACTGGGTGAGTTCATTTGTATAAAAAGGGGTGGACCACTCAACAGAAAACAACACATAGCCTAACTAGTGAATTTGAGTAAATGGATGGCAGAACAGGGCTTAGGAGAGATATCAAAAAGACAACATTTATTAAGTGCTAGAGAGGAGAGGAAATTATTCAGAGCCATGATCGCCAACCTCCTGAAAGAAAGAAAAAAATAAGAGATAGTACATAGAATTTAGTTACTAAGGAGATGGCCCAAGCCCTTATTACTTTAAAGAACGTCTCCAACTGAGTCGCATGTAGTACAATGGACAATCCTGCAAGTCGTTTACCCAGTTTTATTATTCATTTTTCAGATACCATATCTTCCACGAAAATTAAAATCACCATGAAGCGTTCCTCCAAAGGTTTCGTTTCGATCGGTGAGGTTGACAACAATGGTCGTTTCGTTAGCCTTCAGAACGCCAGTACTTTACAAT